CCACAAGCCTAATAAGATCAATTTCCAACACCACATTTGAGCGCTTTTTCAATAATTTGGGAGGAAGTGATGTCAATTGATATATGACTAAATATATGTTGTTAGTTTCACAGTTTACGATGTGTTTTTATTTTTTTTTATTTATGTGTTAGTTTCACAATTTATGTCGTATTATTATTTTCAGTAGTTCTATGTTATCTAAATTTCGAGAGTAATTTGACAATATTAATGTCATTTTTATGTGCTAAATTTGTAGTCTTTTTACTATTAATATGCTTTGTATACTTTTTTAAAAAAAAAAATACTAGTAAATATCAAATAATATTTGTTAAATAAACAAAAACTTCACTAATGATGTAGGCTATGGTGTATTTATTTGTGGCCACGCTTCTTTTTGCTATGTCCCATGTTTCTCTTGCGTTGAGTTTCGGGGGGACGGGCCAAGTACTCTCGAACTTCGCTAGTGGTGTTAGTGTTGGTATATGTGTCCTAGAGACAATCATTTTAAGGACATATATACATGATTACAATAATTATATTAGATTATAATTATGGTATTGTAATTAATTAAATAATTATTTGATTGTTTGCAATTTATTAATTAATTACTCCTTTGAGTTGATACTGTCATTAGCAGAGTGAGATGTTAACTGATAAAGTATAACTCTCAAATCGCCTCAATCGATGAACATTAAGAAAGGGATATTAATGATACGTGATAGATTGACATGTGGTCTGCATCATATTCTTAGAGAATGTAGTATGTCTTACTGTTATGAATAATTGTTATTCGTGATGGACACATGAATACTTTGGAGAGTATTGGCATACCCTACCGATAAACCATTTGTTTATGTGTCTATGGGAGTATCGGTGTGTGCAATGGTGTAATAGTCCTTTGACTTGAGGTCAATACGCAATTCATGTATAGAGTGATTTAATTAGACCTAGTCCAAAGCTTACGCCCATATGGGTAGACACGGGCTTGTGTTGGGTAGATCTCAATATACATGGAATTGGTAGTTGAGCCAAGATAGGATTCATTCCTCGAATATAGTTTCGAGAGAACACTCGTTTTCTCTATACTGGGTTGATAAAGTCATTGGCCAATGCACGTGATTATATTTGAAATGGTGTTCAAATATAATTGATAAAATCAACCAGTAAGATGAGATAAAATGATTAAGCTGTTTGGATAGACACACGTTCAAGTCCTAAGCTTAATTGAGTAGGTCGTGAATGAAGGGACCGTATCATCATTGAGTTCTACACTAAAGGTTTGTTTGCTTGTCCATGTAAACGTACTTCATATTTTGAGTTCGTCATTTGACGCAGTCTAGGAGTTTCGTAAGGATCATAAATTACATTAAGGTCAATATATGAAGGCCTATAGGGTCACACAATATGCAATCAGTTTTCCGACTAAGAGTGAATCGAAAGTGTTAAATATTCAATTAAATTGGAATATTTATTAATGAGTAATGAGATTATTTTCTATTTGATGGAAAATATTTAATTAAGTTAAATTGAATTTATACTTAATTAATAATGAGATAATTTTCTATTTGATGGAAAATATTTAATTGAGTTAAATTAGATTTATACTTAATTAAAATTATAAATTGGATTAAGTCCAATTACCTATTGGGCAGTAGGATTTCCTAAGGCCCATATAATTAGATTTAACCTAATTATAAATAGGTCATTATCTCATGGTAGTAAAAAACGATCATTAGATGAGAGAAAAGAGATACGCCGTAAAACACAAAACACTCTCTAGCTTTCTGG